CCACTCCCAGATCATGCAATCTCCAGGTGGTTCTGCAGTTTAACTTAACAGAATTAGCCCCCAGTGCCAGCCTCTGCCAGCTGATGCTGCGGCAAAGCCCAACCAACCCTCACCCACTCTGACTTAGGATTGCAGCAGTGGGAACAGTAAACCCTGCCCGGCTTTTCCCTGCTCTAGCTCACATGAGGCTCACAGGTGTTGCAGCCCTGCCCGGTCTGGTCTTAACTCATGCTCTCCAATGGGAGTGTTGGTCCAGCAGGGGAGGCCTCCACGCCCCCCCTCCCCTCCGGTCCTCACGTGTCCTGGCTGAATGCTACGGCCCAGTCTGGCTCAAAGAAAGGAATCTTAAGAGCAAAAACAAACTTACCTAAGAAAAGTCCTTTCTTTGAAATCAAAGAAATACCAAATTGATAACTAAAACTTTTCCCTCAAAAGAAAACTTTGTTTCAGAGATTTCCAGTTGTTCACATGGAAATTGTTCAAATATCAAATGCTCAAGCAAAATACTATTTTTTTAAGTTAAATTCTTCATAGATGGAAAACTCTAATTCATTACAAGACTAGTAAAACTATAAAAACAAATATGGACACTCTAAGATGAATAACAGAGCACGCTCATGCACAAGCAGATGTGACAGCCCAGAGCAAAGTATTAGCAAAGTGGAGTTACAGATATATTACAGAGCGGGGTCTGTCCAGAGCCAGGATCTAGGAGCTTCCACTGCGTCTCTCACATGGCTGCACATGCCCAAGCACTCGGGCCATCCTCTGCTGCTTTCCTAGGCATACCAACAAGGAGTGGGATCAAAGTGGAGAGCCAGGACTCAAACCAGTGGCCACAGGGTGTGCTGGCACCACAGGTGGTAGCTTTACATGCTATGCCACAGCACTGCCCCCCCCTCCCCATGTACGGGCTATGCTGTTGTCTGCCCACATGATATAACAGACAGCCACGGTTTATCTTTACTTCTCTTTAATCTCCCTTATGAGTCTTTTAACATCTTATGGGTGGTGAGAATCAAAATGGTGGAATAGGGTAGGGACACATTTAAACAGATGAAGAAACAGTAGGATGAAGCAGAGAGGGCACATTCCAGGAAATAGGAGAGGACAGACTGACGGCAGAGGGGCACCTGGAGACTGATGGACACAGGAAAGCAGTGGAGACAATGGTGTGGTGCTGCAGTGACTCAATACACCAGCAGCATTCAGCAAGTGGCAATTTGAACTGCACCGGGGCCTGACACTCTACCAGCAACCAGGTGGGAAGGGGAGTTCACTGGGAACTCAGGAGGTGAACCCAAAGAACTGCCTGTCCTGCTGGTTTGTTTGATTTGACCAGGAGCAGAGACAGAGCAGCAGATCCCAAACAGGTGGTGCAGGAACAGGGTGGATTTCACAGCCCAAACCCCCACTAGAGCCAAATTGGGTGCCATCTTGTGTAAGGAGGCAATGGCTATGGGACAGGACTGCGCATGAACTAAGCTGGGAGTGAATTCATTACAGCCTCAGTGAATCCAACAACGTGCCATCCTTTGGATTCCACCCAAAATAGGTCCAGGTAGCCCCCAGACCTAACGACCAACAGATAAAGAACTCTGGTAGTGGCACATCAGGCGCCATTTTGTACAATGTGGCAAAGGCTTTGAGACTGCAAGGACAACAGTGAGCTGCGCATGTGCTATCATCCTGGGAACTGTGTGAACTGGAACTGGGAGAAACATACAGACAACAGTGCTATAATTGCACAGAATCACAGCAGACGGGGTGCTGAGCCAGGAGCTGGGCTATGCAGACCATGGTGGAAGTCTAACATAAGAGCCCAGATCTGAAACTTGCTGGAGGGAGTGGCACAAGTGACTGCAAACAAAGAACCGTGTACCAACCACAGTAAGTAAAACTGAACTGTAGACCTGTGGGTGACACAGCTTGAAAACCTGCCCTAAAGAGAAGAACCTGTTAACCAAAAGTACAATGACCAAGAGCAAAAGAGGAAACACAGGCATAATGAATAGTACTGAACACTCCCCTTGCAACCTCAGAGTTCACTGAGGAAGACATGGAGAAAACGAGGGATACAGAATTCAAAACACTTGTTATAAAACTTATCAACAATGAGAAGCACGTAATACAGGAGTTCAAGGAATTTAAGGAATATGTCAAATAGGGAATGAATCAAACAAAAGCCGATATATCAGAAATTAAGAATACAATGGAACAAATTAAAAGTACAGTGAAGAGTTTCCAAAACAGAATTAATGAAGCGGAAAAAAAAAATCTCAGAATTGGAAGATATTTCCTGACACCAGGGCAAAACAAAAAGCTAGAAGCAAAGCTGGTCAAGCTAAAAAAAAGTATTCAAGAATTGAAAGACACTATTAAACGGCCAAATATGAGTTCCAGAAAGTACAAAAAGAGAATCTGGGTTTAAAAATAAATTTAACAAAATAATAAGGGAAAGCTTCCCTAATCTGGAGAAAGAACTGAGAAACAACATCCAGGAGGGGCACAGAACTCCTAAGAGGGTTGACCAAACGCGATTTTCACCACAAAACATAATTAAGCTCTCTTCAATTGAACATAAGGAAAAGATCCTTAAATGTGCATGTGAAAAAAATCAATTGACATATAGAGGAATGGCAATTAAATTCACAGCTGATTTCTCACAGGAAACTCTACAGACCAGAAGAAAATGGAGCGACATATTCCAGATTCTAAAAGCAAAAAACTGTCACCCCAGAATAACATACCAAGCAAAGCTTTTGTTTTTGAAAATCAAAATTCTTCCACAATAAAGTTAAAAGAATATACCTCTTTCAAACATGCCCTACAAATGATACCTAAAGATGTTCTCTTGACAGAGAAAAGGAATTGCACCCACAAAACCAAAGGCAAATGTGAATAACATTCCAGGAAAATAACAGAAGACTAAATCAATGAACAACCCATTGCTAAATGACAGGAACAAATTACCACCTATTTATATTAACCCTGAATGTAAATGGCTTAAACTCATCAATCAAATGTCATAGATTAGAATGGAATAAAAACACAAAGCCCATCTATTTGTTGCCTATAGGAGATATACTTCACCAGCAAAGATCCACAGAAACTATATCATGCATTGTGATGCTTTTAGCTTCATTTCTTCAAAACATGTTTTTTCTCATTAAACTCTTTAATGACTCAGATCATAAAGTAACATCATTTTCTCCAAGAAGGTTCTTGATTTGCTTTTTCATTTCTTCAGCAATACATTAGTCATTCAGAAGCACGTTATTTACCTTTGTGGCATTATAAGTTTCTTCTTCCTGTTGATTTTGTTTCTTGGCTTTTCATTTTAAAAAATTATGATTACTAGATAATCTTTACATAGCTGATTAGAGCACAAAGGGTCAGGGCTACAGCAAAGTGGGTAAGACCATTGCTTCCACATTCACTTTTTTTTTCTGTATCTGGGGTAAGGGAGAGATAAAGGGAGAAGCCTCACCCAGCCTCCCACCCATCCCAGGGTCCGCAGTGTGGGGCATGCTCCAAGGGCACTGCTCAAGTGGTTTCGATAGTTCAACAGTTCTGAATTGTTGCCAATCCTCCATTCCAAGCATGATGAAATTTCTCCAGAATCCACTGGCTGACACAGTCCACGTTATAGTCTCCGTTTGCTCATTTTCACTGCCAACGCATGGCTGGGGTAGCTGATCAATTTATTATGTCCCCTGTCCCCTGTGTGGTACCAGGTGTCGCCTGCAGGAGGCGACTGTGCAGTGGAGACTGACATGTCCAGATGTGAGGATACGGTGCAGTGTGCATCTCTACTTCCAGATTGAGGATGGACTCCCAGTGAAACTGTTGGATGTGTCTTGACAATGGGATGTTGGACTCTCTGCCATTGTCCATCCCAGCAATGATGGACTTACGACTGTCTATGGGGGGGGGGGAGACTAGGGGAAGAGATAGGGGAAATCCCTATGGAACTGTATCATAAAATTATAGTATGATAATAATCATAAAAAGAAGAAACATTCTAAATCTTTTAAAAAATCTTATGGGTGGCTACAGTACAAATATAATATGTTAGATTATCTCAATATAGAAAAACTCAGAAATGTAGTAACTTCCCCCTAAATCCTGCACATGTAAGAAAGGCATAAAATACATTAAAGATAGGAACATTTTAATAATCTTAGGAAATAAGACGTTCTGCTCCCAAATAAATACATTAGTAACCACGGCTAACCACAGTCAGGATCATGATATAAGGACTCCATCAAGCACAAGAAACAGATAGGTGGTGTCGGGGCTTGAACCTTACTCTGCACATCCAGTCCAGTAAGTTCTGTGGAATGAATTTTGTGCAATTCGCTGAAATGTGGCCATCATCACACAAGGGAACATCAGTTTACATGCAGTCATAAGTTATGAACATGCCAACAGGCTGGTTATAAAAAGCAGCATAATTTGGGAACTTCTAAATTTGCCAAACTCAATTCTCTTATTGTTTCCTCTTCTGCTTTCCCAGTTTAACACAGAGGCAATACCTTCTGTACTGGGCTTCCTGTCACACTATATTGACAAATCCAGCATCTACCATAACAAGGACTATGAGCGCTATTTTCCTCAACTTCCAGGCTGGATGGTGAGCGAAGCACTTTTCACTGCTTCGGCTTCCATGGGAATCAGACCTAACCAACAGTGAACCACCATCAATTCCGAGGGATGTGTAAAGGAGCATTTAGGAAGCTCTGAAAGAAAAGTACCAAACTACAATGGAAATGCAAAATGGGACATTTTAATATTCTTAAATAAATATTTATAAAAATACAGACATATAAAGAATAGGCCACTTATAGTGCTGGTTAAAACCATGAAGAACTTTTGAATCAGAAGGTGGACTAATATCCCAACTTCAAGTTAATGTGTAGAAATAGTTTCAACTGCATTTCAGTAAGTATACCACAGGGGATTAGATATGATGAGAAAAATAATAGTTCCAATGCTTATTTTCTCCAGTGATATGTTTTATTAATTAACATGGACTTGAATGAACTGCAGTCTATAAAGAGGTTTTCTAAAAATGCATTATTTTCTGATAAATAAATCCAGTTTCTGTACAGTGAGAAACACCAGGGATTGTGGCAAGCATGTAAGAGAAAGATAACAAATTCTGGGCTCAAAATCACTTGACCAGATGAGCTTCCAGAGCGGTCCTCTGGGAGTCCCCCACTAGGCAGTCAGGCAGTTGGCTCACTCCTTCTGCTGGGCCTCACAGGACCTCGGCTTCAGAGCCTTCTCCAACATTTCCTCTAGCTCATGCTGTGCTGATCAGGAAACAAATCCTCTTAGCAGAAAATGAGAAAACAAAACCACAGACTCAGGTGGAGGGAATGAGCAGAGCTAGGTCTCCGGGTATCTGAGCAATTCAAACTGCAACACAGCAGCTCGGACAGTCTTCCTCTGCAGTCAAGTGGCACTAGAAAGACACAACATTTTCCTATTTCTGTAAACACCAGAGAAATTGAAAATTCAACACCTAGGGGGGAAAAGGCAGAATTCCTCAGCACCAAGGAGAGATGGGAGCGGTTCCTTATGTGTTCCTGTGCTGGTGAACAACTTCCGATCGGCATCCAGAGAAAATCCTCTGCCCGAGGTTAACACCTCAGGTTAACAAAAGGAAGAAAATTTAAACTCAAAAAATCACAACATGAATCATTCAAATTAAAAGAAACCTCAGATGTTTGGTACTACGTGACACATTTTTTAGAGTAGGTCTTGTTCTGAGTTACACTGTTTTCCTTCCCTTGTTTGCTACAGCAGAAAATATTCATTACTAATAATTCTTTAGCTCTCATTCTAAAAGCTGACTTGTCTTAATATGACAGTTAACATTTAAGTAAGACTCTAGTTGTATAGTTGTAGTTAAAACCTCAAAGGTGGAAAAATCAAAACTGTTGCTCGTTTTTCATGACCAGCAGATATGATTAAATTGCTGATGCCGGGACTCAAGTTACATACAGTCAACCACGTTGCTGGAGCCATGGCCCACGTCTCGGATCTGGCTGGTTAAGCACGCACACACAGCGACGCCTGCTCCAGCTCTGCAGTGTGCCACGGAGCCCACCAGCTCCCACCTGAAACGAGGAGAAAGAATTCCATCTATTCAAAGTACTGATCCAAGACAAAATCTCCCTATTCCCTATCAGGAGACTTGTTTTGAAAGACAGCAAGCTTTCAGAGGGAGAAAAGATATTCCAAAGTCTCATGTTAACAACTGCAACCAGAAATCAGAAACAGTAGTTCACCCTTCAGCTGCACTTCAGCTCGCCAAGTTCCAGTTACTGGAAGTCAGTTACACTCTAATAATACAAAATGGGAAATTCTAGAAATCATGTTTACAAATGTTACCACCTAAGTGTGCCGAAACCTCAGGCTGTCCCACTCCAACCTGCCATGCACGTCCATCAGCCCTTGGCTGAGTGCCCGTCATTGTGTATTGTACCGGGCACTAATCATCTGGCAGCTGGCTAGGTTACCAGATGATCTAGTGAAGCAGCAGAGTGCTTGTGTTCGAGCGATCCTTATTTTACTGAATGATGGCCCCAAAGTACAAGAGAGGAGATGCTGGCCCATTTATGACAACACAGTATTCTAAGTTCTCTTTTATTAGTAGTATTGTTGTTCATCTCTTACTGTGCCTAATTTATAAATTAAACTTTACAATAGGCATGTAAGTATGGAATCAAACAGTGTATTCATAGTAGTTGATACTTTCTGTGGTTTTAAGCCATCCACTGGACAGTCTGAGAAGGTATCCGCCTGGAGAAGGGATGGCCACTATATGTTAACAGTCTGCAGTAACCTGGGATGAGAATATACCATTAAAGCATACAGAAAACATGTAAATTACCTATTCAGCACTGGATCATATGCTTCGACTGTATTTAAATATGCATTGCCGTTATGACCACCCACGGCAAAGATTTTGCCCATCACCGTGGCGATGCCCACTCCGCCTCTGGGGGTGGTAAGTGCAGCAACGTAGTCCCACTTGTTGCTTCGAGGGTCATACCGCTCAACCGAACTCAGAGGAGAATTATCATCAAAACCACCTAGACATAAAGAGAGATGTTGAAACAGCAATATGTCACAGAATTAACTACTGTATTTTAGTAACTTCCACAACCCAATTTTTAAAAATTTTAGAATGATTTAGAGAAAAACGAGAAAAAATTTCATCCAAGCACCATTATCAACCACTTCCAGAAAATGTATACAACTGAATATAATTGCTATTGTACTGCAAGAGTAAGACTAAAAATCTTGCAGTGAGAACTCTCATCCTTGCAACTAAGCACGTCATTCAGAAAAACAAAACGGAAGGCATGTGCGTGAGTCGTGCTTTGCCTCCTGCTGGCAAGCAAGACGGTACTGCGACACCCTGGATTGCATTTTTAAACAGTAAAAAGGCTTCACAAGGGAATTTGCTATACTAAATCATATGATCCTTCTAGATACATGCTGAGGTTTGCAAACTGATTTCCTCAGCATTACAGCTGACATCATGCCACAGAGATAAGGGACTACAGTCAAATGCTCACAAAGTTTTGCCAAAACCACATCTTCCTCTTACATACTCGAGAAGATGATAGTCTTTTCTATAACTCATCCCAAGAATGTACCGAGTACATTTCAAATACAGTGACCATTATTTTAACAGGGTCTTTTTTTTTTTAAGATTTGTTTATTTTTTATTAGAAACCCAGATATACAGAAAGGAGGAAAGACAGAGAGGAAGATCTTCTGGTCACTGATTTGCCCCCTAAGTGGCCACATGACCTGGAGCTAAGCCGATCTGAAGCCAGGAGCCTCTTCTGGGTCTCTCATGCAGGTGCAGGGTACCAAAGCTTTGGGCCGACCTTGACTGCTTTCCCGGGCCACAGGCAAGAAGTTGGATGGGAAGCAGGGCTGCCGGGATCGGAACCAGCGGCCATATGGGATTCCGGTGTGTGTAAGGTGAGGACTTTAGCTGCTAGGCTATTGCACTGGGCCCTTAATAGGATCTTTTAAATTTTTTATTATTTTAGGATACAGTTCCATAAGCTCTGGGATTTCTCTTCCTGTCTCCCCAAGTCCCTTCTCCTCCACTGATTTCCCCTATATTATTAAAATAGTATAATCCTTCAAAAACAGTCATAAATTCATCATTCTGCTGTTTAAGTGAATCCTAACATTGTAGGTATGGAACAGTGCTTTTTAAAAATAAGTGTGCCTCTTTTTAAGCTTCCTCTACATCTACACAAACAGTAACTCCCCTGGGTGACTCAGGGTACTTTCCTGAGAATAGGAAGTACTGTATTATGATTAATTTATTTAAAGACAGGGTCAGCAGGGTAAGCACTGTGGTGTAGGAATTAATGCCACCACCTGCAAAGCTAGCACCCCTTTGACTGCTGATTTGTGTCCCAGCTGCTCCATTTTCAATCAAGCTCCCTGCTATTAGCCTGGGAAAAGCAGCAGAAGATGGCCCAACTACTTGGGTCCCTGCACCCATGTGGGAGACCTGGATGGAGCTCTTGGCTCAGTCCTGACCACTGTGGCCACCTGGGGAGTGAGCCAGTGGATGGAAGATCTCTCTGTCTTAGTCCTTCCCTCACTCTGTGAATCTACGTTTCAGATAATAAATAAATAAAAATTCTCTAATAAGTTAAAATTTTTTCAACTTAACTGAAGATTCACACCAATTTTATGTACAAACTGATAAAATTTGACAAATATGTACAATGTAACATCACCACATAAATGATTTAAAATACTTTTCATTACAGCAAAAGGTTTTTAATTACAGTTCATAATATAGATTAAATTTTAATAGTTATATTTTCTACAGATTTCCACCCTCTTCTGTGATTTCTTATCATTTTCCTAAATAATCCACATATATTTATTATAATAATAAAGAACCCAGAACAGAAGAACAAAAAAATGAAACACAAAGCAGTTAGGTTTTACACATGCCCATGACTTTCGATTTTTATTATTTAAATCAGCTGTAGCTGTCTCAAGTAGGACTGAGGTGGTCAAGAGCACTAAAATGTTCAACTTGGAGCCATTCTTATTTTTTCCATGCTTGCCCTAAGTATAAAGAGCCAAACAGTTTTAATACATAACAACAGTGTTGTTGACACAGGAGCCTGTGTTGGTCCCTATGCAACACTGTCACTCATGTACTCATGTGTCTAGCAGCATCTCTGACTACCTACACAGCTGTTATGATCAGGCATAAAAAAATTCAAAAGGCAGAGTTACAGAGAGAAGACAGATCTTCCATCCACAGGTTTATTCCCTCTTATTATCAAGAACTAAATAAGTTATATAAGCATAAGTAATATATGTAACATAAAAAGATTACCTCAAAGCATGTATGAAAATGGAAGCTTATTTTGGAATGAAAATTTTTCAAATCCATGCATAATTCTTTCCTAATACAAAATTTCCATGGGCTTTTTGAAAACCTTGCAGATGCTGTGCCACCCTCTAACTAGTCCCCATCCCACACCCAACCCCCTAAAGGAAGGAACTGCTAATCCTAATACAGCTACACATTTACTGGCCAACTACAACGTGTCAAACACAGTTGGAGATACTTAACACATACAAAGGTTCTTTTCAAAGCTCATAAAATAAACATGCTTATTTTGGAAAAAAAAAAACCCTAAATTTCAGTTTTGTGGCAATCAAATTAAAGTTATCTTCTAATTCTATTTTTCCACCTCAGTATTTTCACATCTTTAATTCTTAAACAATTCTGAAGGACGGGCGTTAGAACCCCTGCGTCTTGTGAAGCCTTGCTACGGAGCTGCGTCGAGCAGATGTGACACAGCAGTGACATCCTTGGGCCTCTCCCTTACGGGGAAGGTGTGTAATGAAGTTTCAGGAAGCATCACTCTGATGTTCCTTCTAACTCCACAAGTCAGTGAAATAAATATGATTAATAAAGACTGACCCAGCTTTATTTGAAGTAACAACTAGCCAACTTTACATATTCAACCTAATTTCCTTTGATATGAGGTTCAAATGAAACACAAGTCTTAGATCTTTTAAGATTTACTTTCATGGGTCCAGTCCATGGTGTAGTAGGTGCTGGCATCCCACAGAGGTACCATTTCGAGTCCTGGCTGCCCCACTTCCAATCCAGCTCCCTGTTAATGTGCCTGGGAAAGCAGCAGAAGATGGCCCAAGTCCTTGGGTCCCTGCACATAGGTGGAAAGGCCAGAAAAGCTGCTGGCTTCTGGCTTCATCCCAGGTCGGGCCATTGGGTCACCTGAGGAGAGAACCAGCAAATGGAAGACTTCTCTCTGTCTCTCCTCTCTGTAAATTCACCTTTCCAATACAAATAAATAAATCTTAAAAAAAAAAAAAAAGGATTTACTTTCACAAAACATAATTTGTACTTCCATATTTTGAAACATTTGTTATTTAAATATAAATACCTATTTTGGAGCAATCTGTCACTACTAGAGAAATGTCAAGTATAAGCTTTAAACACCAAAGATAAAAACAAAAGCAAAAAAGAATTCAAAGGCAGGGGCAGGGCACTTAGATTAGTGGTGAAGAGACCCACTGCCAACTCTGGCTCCTGACCCAGGCTTTCTGCCGGTGCAGACACCGGGAGGGGGCAGTGTGATACTCAAGACCCTGGGTTCCTTTTCAGTTGTGTTGGCTGGTTCCCAGCTTCAACCCCAGCCACTGTAAGCATCTGAGGAGTAATGCAGGGGATGGCAGCCAATTCGCTCTCCTTTCTGTGTCTAAATAAAGTAAAAAAAATTAAAACCAACTCAGCTATATCTCAGCACTGATCCCAGCAAAGGTTAAAGGTGTGTTAACATGTGTTATTTTGTGACACTTGTCATGTATCCAAAAACATCATCCACTCACCAACAACATATAAGCAACCATGAAGTTCACTAACTCCATTGCCTGCTCTTCGCTGACCCATTTCTTTAACTTCTATCCACTTGTCGAGATGTGGGTCATACCTCTCTACACTAGATAAAGAAGCCACTCCGTCATTGCCACCTACTGCATAAACATGGTTCTAAAGGAAACACAAAGAAAACACATGACATTAGATTTTGATTGGATTTATATTGCCCAAGCAGTAGGTCACTATATACAAAAAGATGTATTTCACAAAATACTGTTACACAACAGTATCTGCTTACTGGTGATATGAATGTATCAGCCCTTCATTTGATTATGGATGAAATGCAATGCAATTCCCTGGCAAGTTGCCATGTAACTTTACCACTAGAGCCACAGAGCCAACTCCTCCACGAGGTGTGTTCATTGGGGCCACTGCACTCCACTGATCCGATTCTATGTCATATCTCTCCACATCGCTGAAGCAGGTGTTATCATCCAACCCTCCAATTGCATAAATTGGGCCTCCCAAGGAGGCCAAGGCAATTCCTCGCCTGCAAAGGGAAAACAAAAATATAGCTCAACATCTCAGTCTGCCTCTGGGGAAAAAAGGTAGCAAAAACAGTTACGCTAATGCAAGTCATTTATCATTTTTCCCATAAGATGGTATGATTTGATTCTAACATTTTTATATTTATCAAAGTTTCTTAACAGTGTTGCCAAATTGTGCAATTATTTGAGGATAGTGAGGTCCGGAGTTGCATGGCCTACACAGGCTAAAGAGTAAAACTTAACAAAGTAGTATTTAAGGAGTCCCAAGTTTCAGAGCATAATGAGTTAGCACAACACAGCTGCATAATTGAAAGGTACATGAGTTGGCAGGGAATCATTTGTGGAAGTCAAAAGCTGATCTCATTTCTGAACCCAGGGATTTACACAGCCTTCCTGACAGTTTTGCTATGCTAAGCAGAGCCACCTTAATTTTGATATTATAAGCTTTATATTGCATTGCTTTGTTTCTGCAGGGCATTCATTTCTGTTATGTGAAGAGACTTAGACTCACTTCAATGCTAATTTGTTCTAATAGCAGATATAAAAAAGTTACTTCAATTTTTTTAACAGAAAGCATTGCAACAATTAAAAGTTGAACTGCATGTTTGAAAATAATCCAGGGGAAAAGCCTGGTCTCTTCAACAAATGCTGTTGGGACAACTGGATAGCAGCCTGCAGAGGTAAGAAGCAAGACCCCCACCTGTCACCTTATATAAAAATCAGCTCTAAATGGATCAAGGACCTAAATCTGCACCCAGAAACCATCAAATTATTAGAGGAAAACATAGGAAGCACTCTCCAAGATATAGGAATTGGGAAAGACTTCTTAGAAAAGTCACCAAAAGCACAGGCAAAGCCAAAACAACTGGACTACATCAAATTAAGAAGCTCTGTACAACCAAAGGAATGACCAACAAAGTAAAGAAGCAAACAACAGAATGGAAGAAAATCTTTGCACACTACACAGACAGGGAACTAATACCCAGGATTTACAAAGAGCTTCAGAAACTCAATGACAGTAAAACAAACACTGTGAAGAAATAGGTGAAGGAAATTAATAGACCTTTTTCATTTAATATTTATTTATTTTTATTGGAAATTCGGATATACAGAGAGGAGGAAAGATACAGAGGAAGATCTTCTGTCCATTGATTCACTCCTCAAATGATCGCAATGGTCAGAGCTGACCAGACCTGAAGTCAGGAGCCAGGAGCCTCTTCTAGGTCTCCCGTTTGAGTGCAGGGTCCCAAGGCTTTGGGCCAACCTTGACTGCTTTCCCGGGCCACAAGCAGGTTGCTAAATGGAAAGCAGGGCTGCCAGGAAGGATCAGAACTGGCACCCATATGGTGCGTGCAATGTGAGGACTTCAGCCACTAGGCTAGCACGCCAGTCCCAAAAGACATTTTTTTCAAAAGAACAATTTCAAATGGCTAATAGACATTGGAAAATACTCAGGTTCCCTAACCATCAGGGAAATACAAATACCACATTGAGGTTGTACCTAACTCCAGTAAAAGCAGTCAACATTCAGAACTCTACTACCAACACCTGCTGGTGTGCATAGAAAGGTATCCTAGTTTGGTGTTGGTGGGAGAGGAGACTAGTACAACCACTATGGAGAGTGCTGAGACAACTGAAAATTGATCTGCCGTATGACCCAGCTATCCCACTTCTGGGAATATATCCAAAGGAAATAAAATCTGCATATGAGAAAGTGACCTGTAATCCTATATTTATAGCAGCACAATCTACAATAGCAAAGACATGGAAACAATCCAGATGCCCATCAAAAGAGGAATGGATAAAGAAACTGTGGTACGTCCACTCCCTGAAATACTACTCAGCCATAAGAAAAATTAAATCTACCATTTGCAACAAAACTCCCTACTAGAGACCATTATTCTCAGTGAAATAAGCCAATCCCTAAAGAACAAATATCATAGATCAACAGACACACAGATAATCTTGTATGTACATATATTTATCTAGAGGAACTGTGTACTGGAGACTATAGCATACCAAAGTGAAGGTTCACTGACCATGCATCTCTATTTCTTAATAAAGGATGACTACCAATGAAACTGCTAAATGTATGTCATGATACACTTAAACAGAAGAAAAATAGACTTGTGACTGTTGTTGGCGGACTACAGTGCTGTAATAACATAGGGGAAATTAGGGTGTTTGAAGGGGAGACCACTGAGACCATGGAACTGTATCATGAAAATAAGTTAATTAAAGAATTCAAGAACAAAAAAAAAAAATAAGAAAACCTACTTTATCACTAACTTCAGAACCATGAAATAGGCTTATAAACCTTTACCAGAATGCATCTTCTTCTGAAATGCAGCTGATACTAACGACTTTCTACAGGGAAAGCACTTTGAAAATGCCTGGCCCATGTTTAGTGCTGTCCAAGTACTAGATATTAACATCAAGGGAGAAATCAGTTCCTTTATTATAATTACAACTCCAAGTTTATCGTTTCATATCCCATAAAGAATTCCTAGGCAAACTATGAGGAATCTCCTTCAGCTCCTTTGGGTGTAGAGCTAGGATGCATCAAATACTTGTGGTGCTGTGGGCAAATCCCCAGCTTGCAATGTCAGGATCCCATATCCAAAGGTTTAAATCCTGACTGCTATACTTCAAACCCAGTTTCTGAATTCTGCCTTTCAAATAAATAAATAAATAAATAAATAAATAAATCCTTATTGTGAAGTCTACCAAGACTATAGGGGGTCAGTGCTATGGCACAGCAGCTGAAGCTGCTACTTGAATGCAGGCACTGCATAAGGGCACTGATAGTTTGTGTCCTGGCTGCCACACTTCCAATCCAGCTCCATGCTAATAGTCTGGGAAGACAGCCCAAGCATCGGGGCCGCAGCCACCCAGGGGTAGACCCAGATGAAGCTTCTGGGTTTGACCTGGCCCAGGTGGCCATTGCAGCTATCTAGCCAGTGAATCAAAGACCTTTCAAACAAACAGATCTTATAACAACTGCTATGCACAATTTGGGTTTAAAATTGCTCAGCTTAATAACAAGTCATTTCAAAAAATTTACAATTTATTTTTTACTTATTTGAAAGGCAGTTACAAACAGAGGAGTATTTACAGGGGTAGAGAATCTTAAATACCAACATATATTTCAATTTATTACATGTGGGAATTCAAATATTAATACTCATGATAAAATAATAAAGGAAATAGAAAATGAGAGGCATCTGGCAAATATGGTAAATCATGAAGGATCTTATGTATGAATTAAGAAAAAATTTGCACCAAAAAATTCTTTAATTCTATTTTTCCCATAAATTTTTGAACTATCCTTGTGTCTTACATATATACATGTCTTAGTTCCAAAGTCAGTATTTTAATTAATAACACAAGAGACACTTCCACTATGATTAGGAACAAGACAAAGCATATTGTATTACATTATTACAGTATCAAAGAGTCAGTAAGTACAAGAATGTGTAAGAACATGGTAAAACTGAAGGTCTACAGATTCATGGCACTGTTAGCAGTTAACACTTTGGGAAGCTATGTGTGTGGCATACAGCAAAGTTTCTAACCCCTGGCACTGCTGTCATTGGAAGAACTGCTCTGTTGTGGGCAGCCGTCCCAGTGCCCTACGGGGTGCTGTCCTCTACCCACGACGTGGTAGCAGCAAGCTTCTCCCCTCCAATGTGTGACAACCAAAAGCTCCCCAGACACTGCCTGGTGTTGTAGAAAAGGGGGGAAAAGTCAGTGCTCAGGTGTAAGGGGAACTGTGACTGCTACTATGGTAACTTAAAATAGCATTCCAGAAAACACAAGTTCCTATTTTTAATTACTAAAAAAAAAAACAAAAACCAAACAAAAAAACAAAACAGAAAGGTATAACCAATCATCATTTTGGATGTTTTAGCAAAATGTGTTTGACAAGGCATTTATTTTCCGCGTCACAAGTTCAAGAGATGGTTTCCAAGGGATCTACCTCTTTGTGTTCATTGATGCCTTCATCATCCATTTATTAGTGAGAGGATCAAACATCTCCATGCTACCTAAATGTTCATTTCCATCATGTCCGCCTACTGCATACACTTTACCTGTCAAACAGAAAAACATTTTCATTTGATTCAAAATAAATGGTAGTATTAATGTTATTTTTATATGAATGCAAAACTTAGAGGCCATCATAAGTTAGCTTCCAACAACTGCTAATGATAAATGCTATTTCAAGAGTCATAATCAATGTAATCTTCCAACATACTATTCTACATAGTTATTCAAATGCTCCCATATTACCCCCCACTCAGGTTTCCTAATTTTAATTACTTAGATTAGATGACTAGGAGTTAAAATGATAAAGGATTCTTAATATGTCAAGAAAGTGCAAGTATTATTAACACCGATGATAACACTTCTTCCATCTCGAACTAACAAAAATACATACAATGGAACATGGGAAATATTTCACACCAGAATTTTCACTGTGATTATTTCTGGGTGTTTGGGGTTACAGATGACTTTTTTTTTAAGGTATGTTTTTATGGGGCTAGTGTTGTGGCACAGGGGATTAAGGTCTGCCTTTGATGCCAACATCTCAAATCAAAGCAGCAGCTTACAAATCCTGGCTGTTCTGCTTCCAATCCAGGTCTCTGCTAAAGCCGAGGGAAGCGGAAGTTGTTCCAAGTGCTTGGCCCCCTGCCACCCACATGGGAGAGCACAGTGGTATTCTGGGCTCTTGGCTTTGGCCTGGCCCAGCCCTGATGAACCAGGGATAGAAAATGGATCTATCATTTTCTTTCTTTCTTCTCTTTTCATCTCTCTCTCTCTGCCTTTTAAGTAAATAACTTTAAGGCATGTCTTTATATTTTCCAAAATGCCTTTATACTTTACAATCAATTTTTAACATTTTCTAATAGTTTTAACATTTTTAACATTTTCTAACAGTTTATCCACACTTTCACAATTAACTCATTTTCAGTAACAAGTTTTTTTAAAATCTAATTTCAATAATAACAATTATTTACGGTTTGAGTTCAATGAATATTTTTCTTTGTTTTTCAAATACAAACGGTCTTCAGAAGTTCTGAAAAATGTGCATCTTTTAATTCCATTCATGCATGAGGTTTTTTTGGAATATTTCCTATAACTCTGGGCAATTTAACTCTGCATCTCTTTCCTTTAACACTCATCTTCACCTTATGCACCCGTAAGTATATGCAACGCTGAACATCTGTGGCCAATGCAGGTAAGTAATCACTGACCAAAGATTTTACTGACATATTAAAAAGATGATAATTCATCAATTTGCTTGAACAATGAAATTCTCAAAATCCAAATATTTAAAAAAAAATCACTATGCTGCTGGCATGGTGACTCAATAGGTCAATCCTTTATCTGCCACCACTGGCATCCTACATGGGCACCAATTCTATTGCTGGCTGCTCCACTTCAGGTCCAGCTTCCTGCTTACAGATGGAGAAAACAGCAGAGGATGGCTCAAGTCCTTTGGACCTTGTAGCCATGTAGAAGACCCAGAAAAGTCTCCTGGTTCCTGGCTTTGGATTGGCTCAGCTCCATTGCAGCATCTTGGGAGTGAACTACTGGGTGGAATATTTTTCTCTGTACTCTTCGTAAATCTGCTCTTCAAATACTATTCATTAATTAATTAAAATGAGAACAATTATTAGGCAATGTGATTTTTATACAACAGGGGACTTACCTGCCACAGAGATTACACCAACATGTCGTCTTCGGCTATTCATTTCTGGACCAAAGAACCAGCTGTTTTTGTGGATAGAGTAGCACTCAATACTACGAAAGGGGTCACCAGATCCACCTCGACCTCCTACACAAAACAGCACACCTAAAGGGAAAATCACAGAGATCAAAACCATACTGCCAATTAAAAAAAAATTAGTACAAAAAATAAGAAGTCAAAATACTGAGAAATGGGAAAAAATGAGTTAATTGGGTGGTATTCAATGTTATATTACTGGAATTTAATCTAGTACTCCTCCCCCTTAATTGACCTTTTCCAAGAACAGGGTACATTGGGAGCCAGTGCCATGACTCAAAGGACTAATCTTCTACCCTATAGTGCCTGGATCCCATATGGGCGCCAGTTTGTATCCTGGCTACTCCACTTGCAGCCCAGCTCTCTGTCTATGGCCTGGGAGAGCAGCAGAGAATGGCCCAAGTCCTTGGGACCCTTCCACTGTGTGGGATGTCTGGAGAAAGCTCCTGGCTCCTGAACAGCTCAGCTCTGCTGCTGCAGCCATATGGGGCATGAACCAGGAGACAGAAGACCTTCTCTGTCTCTCCCTCTCTCAGGAAATCTCCCTTTCAAATACAAATAAATCTTAAAGAAAAAAAGAAAGAGAAACTGAAAAAAAGCATGTCTGCTTGTCTGCTTGTAATATTCCATTAAACAATATCGTACTGCATAATCTCACCCTGCAGAACTACTCACCATAACAAATCACCTCCTAAGCCAGCTTCCTATCAAACACAGTGGATACATACTGTTTTTCTGACCAACTCCTTAGTTTCTTGATTTCTGCAAGACCAAATTTCCTTTAGTCTCTAAATTTTCATGTTTTTCAAGTTCTAATCTATTTGTTGCATATTTTATCATCAACAGGAAAAGTTCATCCCTTTGTTTTAAATTCTTTCAGTGTCATACCTTTGAATCCATATTTCTACCTGAAATTCAACATGTTCCAAAGATTCTCTTTCTTACCTACTTAAAAAAAGCCCTCATCAGTACTATAAAAACCTGTTCTCTTACTGCTTACAAATCTTTTTTGCTTTTTGATTATCAGCAATGTAAACAAACTAAAGGAGCTCTTTTAACAGCCATTACTTATAACAGAAGTTCTCAAAAACTTCACTGAAGGCTGGGACAATGTTTGGACGAATGGTTAAGATGCTGCTTGGGATATACCATGTCCCTTCTGATTCCAGCTACATAAAAATCATTAAAACTTAATACCTCAGTGAATTCCTTTAACCGGATAATAAATGACCACACAAATGATTGACTAGAACTACCTGCAGGTATCTCTCCCAATTAATTCAATATTTTGAGAGAAACAAAGTTGAAAGAGACATTAGAGATCATGCAGTTAGACAGTTTATTAATACTCTGTGGTCTTGAGATGAAGAAATGTGCTCTACACTGCTACCCTTGACAGGATGGAGGTGGGAGAACTATCATGGAGAGACATAGAACCTGAAATAGCTACAGCAAATTTATAGGAAATAATAACAATAATAAAATAAAGCCTCCCACCTCTCAATAATTTAAAAAGTAAGGAATAGGCACTTTTGTACCACTGCTTTTTAAAGATTTATTTATTATTAGAAGTGTACTTTTACAGAGAAGAGAGATAGAAAGATCTTCTATCTCTGGTTCACTTCCCACTAGGTTGCAATGGCTGGGGCTGAGTCACTCCAAAACCAGGAGCCAGGAGCTTTCTTCAGGTCTCCCACATAGGTGCAGAATCCTAAGGCTTTGGGCCATCTTCTGCTGCTTTCCAACGCCACATGCAGGGAGCTGGATTAGAAGCGGAGCAGCCAGGACAGGAGCCTGCACCCACATGGGATGCCAGCACATGAAGGCATCCTGCTTCAGACAGCCTGGCTCTGGCTGTTGTGGCCATTTGGGGAAAGAGAACCAGTCAATGAAAGATCTGTCTTTCCCTCTGTTTCTCTGTAACACTTTCAAGTAAAATAAATAAATCCTAAAAAGTAGTGACAGGAAAAAAGTGTTTATTATCATTTATATTTCATATATGTGCAATTTTTTTCAAAGAATACATTTATTTTTTTTAAGATTTATTTTTATTATTTTTTTATTGGAAAGGCGGATATACAGAGAGGAGAGACAGAGAGGAAGATCTTCCGTCCGATGATTCACTCCCCAAGTGAGCGCAATGGCCGATGCTATGCCGATCCGAAGCCAGGAGCCTCTTCTGGGTCTCCCACGTGGGTGCAGGGTCCCAAAGCTTTGGGCCGTCCTCGACTGCCTTCCCGGGCCACAGGCAGGGAGCTGGAAGGGAAGCGGGGCTGCCGGGATAGAACCGGCGCCCATATGGGATCCTGGGCGTGCAAGGCGAGGACCTTAACCACTGCACCACCGTGCCAGGCCCCAAAGAATACTTTCATGGGCGTGCAAGGCGAGGACCTTAACCACTGCGCCACCGTGCCAGGCCCCAAAGAATACTTTCAATCTACAGTTGACTGAATCCCACAAGTGTGAAATTCGCTGATACAAAACCCACTGACAACAAGGGCAAAACTATTGCCTTTTGTACTTGGTAGAGTAGGCTGGCCTACAGAACTCATTACATGAGAACTCTACATCAGGAAGCAGTAAATACATTTAGAGGAAATCTCTATTCCGAGTTTCTCTTCCTGAATTTCTGGATCTCAATTTCTAATTCTCAAACAGATTACTCTGTATACAGAAAAGGGAGTTGGCCAGGAGCTAAGATGCCTGTGTGTCACCTCTGGGTGCCTACGTTCAGTCCCTGGTTTAGGCCAATGCAGGTGCTTGGAGTCAGACAGATGCCTCAAGCCCTATCACACGGGCTCCTGCCTTCTATGTGGAGAAACCTGGGTCACATTCCTGGCTCCTGGCTCCTGGCTCCTGGCTCCTGGCTCCAGGCTCCAGGCTCCAGGCTCCTGGCTCCAGGCTTCAGGCTCCAGGCTCCAGGCTCCTGGCTCCAGACTCCAGACTCCAGGCTCCAGCCTGGCTCCTGCCTCAGGACATAAATGAGAAGACTGGAATTATCTCTGCTTCATAAATAAATAAATAAAATCATGTATGTGTATGCATACACACACACAATTTTCTTGTGAAAATATAGTGAAAAATGTGGCAAATAAAAGTGAAACCATAGACTCCTAAAACAGAATAGTTTTAGATTTTTTTTTAATATTTATTTATTTGCAAGGTAGAGTTACAGAGAAGGATAAGAAGAGGCAGAGAGAATCTCCCACTAGCTGGTTCACCACCAAAATGGCCACAACAGACAGGGCTGGACCAGTCCAAAACCAGGAACCACCTGTTTCACCTGGATCCCCCACATAAGTGCAGGGACCCAAGGGGGATGTTCTTTTGATTTGGAAAAATGTAAAAATGTAGGGACAGGCATTTGACCTAACACTTAAGATGCCTCCTGGAACACCTGAGTCCCATTCTGGAGTGCCTACTTCAAGCTAACACACCACACTGAGAGGCAGCTGGTGAAGGCTCAAGGACATTTGTCCGGCATGATTTCCAAGCTCCTGTTTTCTGGTGCATGCCTGGCTATTGCAGACATCTACGGATTGAACCAGTGGGTGGAAGACAATACTCTTTCAACCCTTCATGTCCATTCACAAGATTTTAAAAAAATATTTAATCATGTAATATGTATCAAGTCCCAACACTTAACAGAAATCCAAATCTAAATAATAAATCTACCTGGGTTTAAACTGTTTAAGACACATCAAGGAAGTAAACCCCAATAAAATAAAACCAATTCAAACAAACTGCTAGAAAAGCATAAATAAAACAAGTTAATCCTGTCTATAAGAATTGCGGAAAACCTCAAAGGAAGAGGTGTTTTAGTAGGCTCTTAAGAATGTGTGCGATCTGTTATGGCATTCTAAAACTCTGGCTCATCATTAAAATCATCTAAAACTCCACTGCCAACTGTTGCTTTAAAATAGATATACGCGGTGGTCCAAGTGGTTAGGGTCCTCGCCTTGCACGCCCAGGATCCCATATGGGCGCCGGTTCTATCCCGGCAGCCCCGCTTCCCTTCCAGCTCCCTGCCTGTGGCCCAGGAAAGCAGCTGAGGACGGCCCAAAGCCTTGGGACCCTGCACCCACGTGGGAGACCCAGAAGAGGCTCCTGGCTTCGGATCGGCATAGCATCGGCCATTGCGCTCACTTGGGGAGTGAATCATCGGACGGAAGATCTTCCTCTCTGTCTCTCCTCTCTGTATATCCGCCTTTCCAATAAAAAAATAATAAAAATAAATCTTAAAAAAAATAGATACTAATTCTCTTACAAGTAAATTTGGAAACTAACACTCAAACACAACAAAGATCCTTCCAGCAGAACTGATACAATGAGTAATTTAATTACCGGCAGTATGCTTCCTTGGGGTGGTCCGAATGGAGTATTCAAAGTCAGGCACTGCTCTGCTACTCAAATGAAGGTGGTAATTTCTTGCTTCATCCAATAAATCTCTACATTTTAGATTTTGCTTGACAATCTGTTCTTTTGCCACAACACCCATAAGAAAGTCAACTGGCAATAATGGCAGACGAACCTAAGATCATGAACAGTTGTGATACAAAGTCCTAAGTGGTAATACATCAGTTTATTCCTTTACTTTCACTGCAGTGTTTTTTCTTTTTAAGATACATTTATTTCATAAGGACTTTTAAACACATTAATGAAATTCAATCTGTCAATGCTAAATCAGACAATGTTATGCATATTCACCATCTTTAACTATAGCTTTAGGTTGGGGTGGGCATTTTTTCAGCAGTTGCATCACTGGTTGCAATATCTGTGTCTCATATCAGAGTGCCAGGATCTGATACTGCTCCTGGCTCCTGACTTGGACTCCCTGCTAGTGCAGACCTGGAGAGGCTTCAGTTATGGCTCAAGGAATTGCGTTCCTACCACTGGTGTGTGAAACTTGGATCGGGCTCCCCAGTCCCAGCTGTGGTGTAATCCCAGCGCTGGCCCTACTGTAGGCATTTATGGAGTGGACCAGTAGACAGAAAAGGAGACAGAAGTGCACTATCTACCACACACACACACACACACACACACACACACACACACAGATTTAAGTAGATAAAATAATTGTCTCTATTCAAATTACTCACTTTCCAAAACTGACATAATCACAAAGCCCTTTAGCTGCTAAAGCAAAGCAGCAACCAAAATAAAATTGTTCCACTTTAATCTTTTGGCTTTTTAAGCTAAGTTCGCACATATGGAAATGACATTTTTTTTCTCATAAAAACATGTTTATTTCACATATGAAATAAACATTGTTTCCTACAAAACCATGGTATTAAATGGTCATTTACAAGTGCACTTCAGAAAGTTTATGGGAAAATGGAAGTAAAAGTTCCTTTTCGTTCAACTTTTATTTATTTTAATTTTATTTGAAGCATACTGAGATAAAGATCTTTCATCCCCTGGCTCACTCTCCAGATGCCCACAAAATGTAGGGCTAAGCCAGGTCGCAGCCAGGAGGCAGGAACTGGAGGTGAGCCTTTCAGAGAGGTGGAACACATCCGAGTACCTGAGCCATCTCCTGCTGCTTCTCCAGGATGTGTGTCAGCAAGAAGCTGAACAGGAAACAGAGGAGCTGGGCTCGACCAAACACCCTGAGTGGCACGGCACAACATGCCTACCTGGATAAATTCAAGTCCAAACAATTCTAAAATCCATAGTTCCTTCATAGCATTTCCAATAACTTTTTAAAGACTCTCTAGCACCTAAAGGATGCATTTCCTCCTGCAGTGGAGGCACTCACCCTTCTTCTCTTACACACGCACTGTTTCCTGGCGGATTAAAGGAAGGATGGAGCCAGGTGGTACTGCTCTGAGTTAAAAGCACACGCACAAAAGGGCTTGAGTCTAACCTCTTTCCCCCACTACAATGGCCCACACACCTGTCCACACAATCCCCTTGAATGAATTCTGCCTATCCTAAAACAGGAAAAAAGAACATACAAGATACAGCTGTAAGATAAAGAAACTATGTTCTTGTTAACAAATTTTGCTTTGAAAGTAATTCTGAGATCCAAAAGTATTCTGAACTTTGCATAAATATTGTATATGTGCTCCAAAAAATATTAGTCTCATTAAAATCATACTTAAGCATACTTCACTCATCTACAACTATCCAGACAGAAAAGAGTGATAATTAAAAACGATTTCATTCTGGGGTAGGCACCATGGCATGGTAGGTTAAGCCTCTGCCTGGTATCCCATACAGAAAAGCAGTCTGAGTCCCAGGCGTTTCACTTCTGATCAAGCTCTCTGTTAATACACCTGGGAAAGCAGCAGAAGCTGGCCCAAGTCCTTGGGCCCCTGCAATCACATGGGAAATCTGGAAGAAGCTTCTGACTCTGAGCCAGCTCAGCTCCTGCCATCGTGCCAGCCCCAATAATCCACTTCTGATCTTCCTGCCAGGATAATGTGGCTGGGTGAACAGAAGATTGCTCAAGCATTTGGGCCTCTGCCACTCATGTGGGAGACCTGGATGGAGTTCCAGGCTCCTAGCTTTAGCCTGGCCAACCCCAGCCGCCGTGGCCACTTTAACTTATGTGTGTGTGTATGTGTGCATCTTCCTCTTTCTGTAACTCTGCTTTTCGAATAAACTTTAAAATCTTAAAAAGAAAAAAGTGAGACGGGGAAGAGAGAGGAAAGTGAAAATAAAAGACACAGACTCCAAAGTGTGTATTTACAATGCAGTTATCAAACAAGCACTGTGGGCAATAAAAAACATTAAGATAATAATACAAAAACACTTCTGATTTTCTTTTTAAAAAGTCAAACTCTGATGAGGGGATAAATGGAAAGTGGTGTCTTACACTTCTTCCTAGAATAAATCTACTTGCATTATGCATTAGCAAGCTGTACTTTCATTATCTTATCAACATACTTTTTTAAAATTTAGAAGCCCCATAAATTGATAAATACTATATTCATCTAAAGTTGCTCGGAGCCAGGTTTTGTCAGAATAATACCCATTACTACCACAATCAAAGGAATACTGCAAAGATCCAGGCTATGAAATAGACAAAATTACTAATTCAAATGGGATAAACTGAGACTAACCCCTACGTGGTGTAACAAGAACAGAAAGGAATTAAAGCCATTTTCATAAATGTATCACATCAATGACTTCCATATTCCTTTGAATGATCTCTACTTTTCATATAAATTGCTTCCACATCATTTCATTTCTGCATGCAATTTGATTTCGGCCCATACCTGTGCAAGCGTTTCATCCAACCATTTGGAATGATGCTGAGGATTGGCAAGAAGCCACTTGATGGCAGCACTGTAAACCTGCTTTTCATTCTCAATATTCAGGTCACTAGAGGACAAAAGCTTTTGAAGGTGCTGGGGTGACACACTTACAAAGTCCTCACACTCCACAACTTCAGGAAAGTGTTCACAGGCATACTGATCTGCCATGTCCATTAAGTCCATGCGGTTATGACTTTCTGCAAAGGCTCTGACTGCTAGGCAATTAGACGGATGAAAATGTAACTTCATGTACTCACAACAAGCCCTGGCCACCAGTTCAACCTGCAGAATGCAGGCTGCATATAAGAGAGGCTGGACATTGTCAACAGTCAAAGTGAGCCGGGAAGAATAGACAAACTTTACCAAGTCTTCTATTGTATCACCATCGAAATCTCTGATCTCAATCACCGTCTGCTTGGCTTCAGCCATTTCAGAGAGAAACATGGCTCTGAAATAGGGAATAACACAAGCCAACACCAGTCTGTGACAAGAGATGAGCTTTGAACCAACCTGTTAAAAACAAAAACAAAATAGGACAGTTCAGGCCAGCTACCAAAACCAAGCCATTTCCACCTTTCAAATAACTACTTCTAAAATGTATGGGAGTATTTCAAAGCTCATGGAAAAATATAATTAAAAAATGAATTCTGATGCAAAATTTTTGAAATTCATGCAGTCTTATATACACAGTTTCTATGATGTTCTTAAAGATCCCTCTATACATGGATTTCAAAAAATTTTACACTAAAGTGAACTTTATCTTTTAACTCCATTTCCCATGGACTTTTTGAAGCATCTGTATGAACAAGGAACTGCAATTTTTCTGTACTATCTCATATTTCAGGAGTATTTTATGAATTAATGAGAACAGCAACCTATATCCTTTTGTACTCACTGTATGCAGGCATTATTTTAAATAATTTCCACATCCCAACTCATTTAATAGCCCAATATTCCCAATGAATGGGTATTAGACATTGAATATCCTTTATCTCAAATGCTGGATACTAGAATTATTTCAGATTCCAGAGGTTTCCAAGATTTAACAACATGCACAGAGTTTATTGGCTGAAAGTCCTTAAACCTGAAAGCTCTAAGTCAGAAACAAAATCTTTGTGAGCACTGGAATGATGCTCAAAAGTGGCACACTGGGGGTCAGCCACTTGGCACACTAGCTAAGCTGCCACCTGGGGTAATGTGTGAATGTCTGGTTCAAGTCCTGGCTCTGCTTTCGATTCTAGCTTCCTCCTAACGCACACCGTGGGAGACAGCTCATGATGACTCAAGTGCTTGACTCCCTGCCACCCACGTAGCAGAGCCAGACTGAGGTTCTGGACTCTTGCTTAGGTCTGACCCAGGCATTTTTAGGAAAGGATCAATAGATGGAAGATCTCCTTTTATCGCTTTCTGCCTTTTAAATAAAATGATTTAATAAAAAAAAAAAAAGAAGAAGCTTTTTTTCAAGCTTCAAGATTTGGAAAATTTAGGATTTCCATGTTAGGGATGCTCAAGGTGTATTACTACCTGCAACTGATCAACTGAAAAACTGAAGCACAGCGTAAATAAACTAATATCTAGTATTTACTAAGTTTAACAAAAGTTTCCATTTTCTACTTATTTCAAAAATGATACATTTTATATAATAATGCAGAAATAATCCTGAAATCTCACCACCTTAATGAAAGCTGAAATTGTTTCCAATGGTGTGCCCTTACAAGCAATGTAGTAGTGAAGTTCTCTAATAAAGGCTGCTTCAAGGTTAGCCACAATACAGACATGGCTGCCAATCTGCCTGCTGGGGGCTATTTTTTAAAAACCTTCTTGCAGTTACTTAAACACATGTATTAACTTTTAAAAACACTTTTTTCTATCAAGTTGGGAGAGAAGCAAGACAGGGAGCAAAGGAAGAAGAGAAGTGGAAAGGGAGCAAGGAAGAAAAAGAGGGAAGGGGAAAGGAACAGAAAAAGAGAGGGAGGGAGAGAGGGAAAGAGAAAGCTGGGAAACGGAGGAAGAGAAGAGGGTTAAGGGGAGAGGGAGGACGGAGGAGAGACTGATTTCCCAAATGCCAACAGGCACGGTTGGGCCAGGCCACAGCTGAGGTACTCCAAATTCCATTCAGACCCACTGCACAGCCATTATGGATCCAAGCACCTGAGGTATGACCTGCCACTTCCCAATGTGCACGTTAGCACAAAGCTGGAATCAGAAATCGAGGTGAGAGTCAAACTGGATGTGAGTTGCCAATCAGAGGCTTAGCCCACCCACAGTGCTACAATGCCCATCTTCACAGAGCTTCCTTAGAGTATCTCTGTCAGATCCTGAGTGTTAAGAAACAGCTGCCACTGACTCATGGACCCACTGCTATGTGCAAAATCTGGCACTGGGAGAGGTTCTGATGGAGGAGCCTGGGCAACTCCTCTGGCAGGACACAGACCCAGCAGGTAAGCGCAAGAAACATGATAGGAAACAGCCCAGAACAGGCCATGGAAAGTTTCCCACTGGCATACATCTGGCATGGGTCGGGGGAAGACCAGGCTGAATCTGTTCACATCATCCACTGGCAAATCCAAGCACCAGAACAGTGTGGGTCGAGCCGGGTTCGGTTGCAACAAAAACTAGTGCACAATATAGAATGCCAAGGTGAGGTTGCCTGTGCCGGATGTGACCACAGCACCCAACCAGCACACGTGAGAACCAGGAAGGGAGGGGGCAGAGCCGGCAGGGGAATAAGGGGTGGTTCCTTTGCTGGACAGCTACTCCCACTGGAGAGCATGAGCTGGGATGGGGCAGACCAGACTAAGCAGGGCTACACCTGTGCACCTCATGTGGACAAGAACAGGGAAAAGCCAGGCTGAGCTGATTATTCCTACTGGTACAAACAAAATTAGAGAGGGTGAGGGTTGTTTGGGCTTAGTCACAGCATCAGCTGCAAGAAGCTGGCACTGGGGACTAGTTCTGTCAAGTCAAACCACAGAACTACCTGGAGAGTGCATAATCCGGGAGTGGGAGAGGCCTGGGAAGGAAATAGTGGGCTCCTCCCTCTTGGGTTACCACTTCCATGGGAGGGCACGAAAACCAGGACAGGGGCTGGGGTGGAATGGGGTGTGGGACAGACTGGACTACTGTTACACATACTGGCAAACCAGGGTAGGGGACGGGCCTGGTGGGGGTTATTGCGGGTCGCTCCAACTAGGCTGCAGCTCCCACTGGTTTATGCAAGGGCCGAGTATGTGCTGGGCAGAACCAGGCTGGACTGCAACACCCATTGGTTCCAGTGGAAGTCGGGAGTGAAAACAGAACCAACCCAGCGATTGCAACCACCAGCTGATCAGGGCCATGGACTGAGCCGGGCCCTGTACTTGCTAGTACATACAAGAATCTGGTCTGAGAACACCTCAGACAAAGTTTCTTTGGAGATTTCCCCAATTGAAATGCTGGACTCAGAACCCTAACCAAGAAAAGAGAGAAGACAGAACAGGTCAATCAACCATCTCAGCTATATGTCAGCAGCAAAATACAGGGCAAACTCTATGTGAATCAGTGGATTCTTCAAAGACTTCATAGTGTTTGGAGTGGCAAGATTGGCAGCAATTCATAACTGTTGAACTATCAGAACCACTTGAGCAAGAACCTTGCCAAATACTCTACATCCAGGACCTGGGTTGGGTGGGAAACTGGGTGGGCCTTCTCCCTTAATACCCCCCTTTTAAACATGAAGGAAACAATATGGAAATGATAGTCTTACCCACTTTCCTATAGCCCTTGAACCTTTTTACCCCAAATCACCATGTAAAGATTGTAAAAAATATAAAAATTTTTAAAAAAGCTGCCAGTTTGATGAGTAGAACTATTTCATTGTGTGGTTTTTTTTTTTTGCTTTTTTTTTTTTTTGGTATAATCTGGGGTACAGGTCTTTGGTGTACTATGGATTTTTCTGGCTTATATGTAAGAACTGCCGAATCATTTAGAATATTAAATATGTGTCATGCATACTTCAAATTTCCTTTTTCTTTTACAGTTTTTCTTCCCCCATACAGAATTTTATGTAATTAATCTTTGATTCCTGGCTTAGGTAAATTGCTTAAAATAATTATTGCAAGATTCAATAAATATTTACTTTTCATATTTATTGACTACTTTAATAATTTTATGCTTTATATTTTCTTTTTTATATAGTAGTAATCAAATTTTCCAGTTACTTTAAAATTTGATTACATAATAAGAGAATTTTAATGTGAAAACTTGACAGAGATGAATGACTTTGCTTATAAATGGCTCTCGCACAGTATTTCACAAATGTAGAAGAAGAACGGCTATCACTTACTTCAGCGAGCACAGATGATCATTTCCGTCTGTTGCATCATATTAAATTTAGCAGAACTCACAAGGCAGGATTTAGATTCTACTGAGACTCAAGTTATAATGTAGACTACAGCATAAAGCTTGGCATTTTTTCAAACTCATTTCAGCCCTAAAATGGGATCTGAATTCTGATATTAAGCATCATGAACATAGCCTAAAAATGTCCTTTCAAAAATCTTTTCCGTAGTCTACCACTAGGATTCAGTTTCTATGAGTATTTGTAAAATGTATATTATAAACTTGCTCAGTCAAGTAACTTGCCAACACTCTAACACATGACAGTACTATGGAATGGGACTCTACAATTTCCATATTGACTTCTCCATCCAAGCTGTACAAACTAATGGCTAGCAAGTTAGTTTCACCATGCTTTTAATAAAACTCTGTACCTCTAAAACTATTTTACCTTCTCAGTTCAAGTAAACTAAACTGTGACATACACAGTCCCATAAAATATCCTTCTTGGACCCCTTCCCATTGCATATTAACCAGGGGATTGGGTCTATGTAAAAGGTCTACCCCAAAGCCACTCTAACTCCAGCCCAGCTGTGGTGGACCTTAATTTGGCCCTTCCAACTAGTGCCCATGCACTAGGTGCCAAGCTGTTAGGCTCTCCCTCCTGGATGCACTTCTCCAGGTTAAAGCTCACTGGATCCTGACGACAACCAAAGAGAGGACCCAAAGAGTTGGTGGAAACCACAAGCCCTGACCCCTCACCCCCCTCCTGCTTCTCACTGCCATTCCAGAGGATTCTGAAGAAGACATGTCTGCTCACAAAACTATGAGACACTCACAATGTCTGATCCTGGACGATCTTATGATCTTGTCCTGACCCTTCCTAAAAGCTGCCCTCGTTCCTATCTGGACACAACAAGTGCTTCATTTGGCTGAGGCTGACTTTGTTGATTACACTGCTGGGTGCCTGTTTAAGCTCTACTGATTTGAAAAATGATTCTCATGTTTTTTTCTGACTGTCCCCTCCTGTCCTGTCCCCATGCAGAGTTTACTGACTGCATGTCACCCAGCACATATACTTGATCTCATTTCCTCACTTCTAAGTCAGTCAGTCTCTCTCTCTCTCTCTCTCTCTCTCTCTCTCTCTCTCACACACACACACACACACACACACAGAGTTGGAGGAAGGGTAGAGCTCTTTAATCTGATAGTCTACTTCTCAAATCCCTGTAACATTTGGGGATAGGCCAGACTGAAGTCAGGAGAAGGTCTCCCACACAGTTGGCAAGGGACCCAAGAATAGAGCCATTATCTGCTCCCAACCAGTCAGCTGGGAAGTCAGACACGGGCTCCCAAGCAGGGGCTTAAACCACTGTGCCACAGGCCTGGACCCAGGACACCTTCATGTCTTAAATGCAGATTCAAGTTCTCAAGTATATCTCTTGTCTGTGCTATAAATAATCTGAATGTATCTCCATGAATGGATTCATGCTTTACACCAAGGCCAGAGGGAACGAACTTAAGCCTTTTTCACCCTTCTGCCACATTAGGACCTCACTGTCCTGTGGGAACAAGTCTCTAAGAAAAAAAAAAAAAAAGACAAAAAAACAGAGGAGCAGTTTCAAAAAACTCAGGCCAGGCCAATAATGTAAACGAGATGCACTTAGTGGTGATATCAAGAAGATGTACAGGCACTTCTCACTCTCTAACCCCTATTCACTTCCTCAAGTAAATTAGCCATGAACTCTCATGAGAACAATGACATCCCCTCAGACTCCGTAACGCATGAGTAACAAGCATTTTTGTAAACGCTTATTTTATTCATCTACAACATAAACTTAAGCAATGAGTATAATATTCCTGCAGGACAAATTTGCTCTGCCCACTCTCCAATTTGCTGCCCTTAAGAAGCTAAGCCATATGTGGTTTTTAGGGCTGCCACTGGATATGCTTGGAAAACACTGTCACTAGCAAGCATAATGGTACATACACGAGCTTTGCTTCTCCCTGTCATGACAGCAAGCTAGTATGTGAGGACACGTCACAAAGCTCATGAATTCAGAGATAAGGTTACATTGATGGAAACGAATTTTGAAATCTGGCCAGCTTTTTCATAATACATATTTCCCATGATTTAAAAAGACGTATCCTCGTATATGAAGCATTTCCAATCACCTTTCAGACGTACTAGGTCCTTTCTTGGCACTTCCATAAAAAATAACAACAGCAACCATGAAATTCTGTTCCAATTAGCTGTGTCTGGGCGGATCTCTGGCTAAACTTCAATGTCTCTCACAGCAAGTACAGTTATGTTATTTACATTTGTACTCTTTGTGTACTAGCTAAGACCTTGGTGAGTATTCCTAAATGAATTGTTTGCTATTTCTACAATAGGACCTCATTACAGAATTTAAAAATGGGCTGGTGCTGGTGCTATGGCACACTGCTGTGTGCAGTGTGGCATCAGCATCCTATATGGGAGTTCTGGCTATTCCACTTCTGCCCAGCTCTCCTTGCTACTATGCCTGGCAGAGCAACACAGGGCGGCCCAAGTGCTTGGACCCCTACACTCAGATTCCAGCTCCTGGCTTTGGGGGGCATCTGGGGAGTGATCCAGCAAATGGAAGATCGTTGTCTTTCCCCCCCTCTCTGTAATCCTGCCTTTCGAATAAAAACAAATAAATCTTTTAAAAAATAGAAAACAAAAATAGACTTATCACCTTATAATACTAGTAGTAAAATAAATTTTGTGATAAACATCTTTTGAACTCACCTAAAGAGCTGTTGGGCATGGTGGTTAGGATGCCCACACCTCTCATCAGAGCACCTGGATAAGACACCTCCTTCTGACTCTGAGCCCAGCTTCCAGCTAGCCTGGCCTCTGGGATGCAGCTGTGACAGCTTGAGTGACTGGGCTCCTGCCGCCCGTACAGAAGACTAGGACTGAGAGCAGCTCCAAGCTTTGGCCTTACCCCCGAAGCTGTTGAAGGCACTTGGGGAATAGACCACTGAACAGGGATTCTCTGTCTTTCCAGTGATTAAATTCTTGTCTTGCATCCACCAGGATTGCACAATGGTGCTAATTCATATCCTGGCTGCTCCACTTCCCTTCCAGATCCCTGCTTGTGGCCTGGGAAAGCAACTGAGGACGGCTCAAAGTCTTTTGACCCTGTATCCACACAGGAGGCTTGGAAGAAAACTCCTGGCTCCTGGCTTCAGATTGGCTCAGCTCCAGCTGCTGCAGTCACTTGGGGAGTGAATCAGCAGAAAGAAAATCTCTCTGTGTCTCTCTTTCTCTCTGTATATTTGTCTTTCCAATAAATAAAATAAAACAAATCTTTAAAAAAAAGGATTTAATTGTTCCTTTAAAAAAAAAACCTAAAAGTTGAAGAAACACTAAACCAGAATTCAAAAACCAGCAGAGCATTTAGCCTTACATTCAAGCCGCTGATTGGCACACCTGTGTCCCAGAGCCTCTGGGTTCAACCCTGACTGGGGCTCCTGGCTCCAGCTCCCTGTGAATGTGAACTGGGAGGCAGTGCTGATGGCTCAGCAGCTGGTCTAGTTTCTGGTTTGGCTGCAGACTTCAGTCCCAACTGCACACCACTGCAGGCATTTGGGAAGTGAAGCATAAGATGAAAACTTTCTATTTCTCATTTTCTCTTAAAACAAAATTCGTTTAAATTTTAAAAAATTAAGAAACAAATAGTCACAAATATGGTAAAGGAATAAATTAATTCTTTCTAAAGAATAGGAACAGACTAACAAAGAGCTATCTGATACTCTTGGAATAATATATATAATGATATTAGTGGCTGTTATTATTTAATATACACCATGCAGTGGATGCTAAACATGTGCTAAGTCAATCACACTTTACATCATTATCTCATTTACCCTTCACACAAACAACCATCATCTTCATTTCACAGGTCAGAAAATAAAAATCATGCTCAATTTCTTTAAACTAGCCCCGATGGAACAATCTCATTCCTACACAGCTTACAACATGGTAAACTGAATCCTCCCACAAAGATTCTCCTACAGTGTTCATTCCAACCCACTGCTGACACTACCCCAAAACAGTTGTAAGTCTGCTTATTACTTCACCGTCATGGGTTTATCTTTATTTTTCACTAAAGAAGTTCTACAGAATTTTTTGGTAGCTTGTAAAATTACTCTAAAATTCCATTTAAAACTTTACAAAATTTTAGAAATATTTAGAAATATTTATTTAAGTATCTTCCATGCAGTCAGTGGTTTGCTGAACTGATAATTAAATTTAAATAACCTACATTACATTATTTGGAAATATTTATTTATTTATTTTTCTTGGAAAATCAGATTCACAGAGAGAAAGAGAGACAGAGAGAAAAGACGTTCCATCTGCTGGTTTACTCCCCAAGTGGCTGCAATGGCCAGAGCTGATCCTAAGCCAGGAGCCAGGAGCCTCCACCAGGACTCCCACGTAGCTGCAGGGTTTCAAGGCCTTGGGCTGTCCTCAACTGCTTTTCCAGGCCACAAGCAGGGAGTTGGATGGGAAGCAGAGCCAACAATACAAACCGACACTCATATGGGATCCCGGTGCACGCAAGGTGAGACCTTTAACCACCAGACTATTGTGCCAGGCCCTACATTACATTTACCTTTACTTATTACACTAAATTTCACACAAGGGTTGAAAACCAGAATGAGAGCATGCATGTAAACATAATATACTACACAGATCAAAAAGCCCCCACGTTCTCCTTTATTAACATCTGCTTGTGGCTAAATTTCACACAGAGATAAATCTTGTAGAATTTTTTTTTGTCAATATTTTAGGAAGCAAATATTTAAGGCCACTTAAAATTCAAGGAAAATAACTATTGATTGATTATCCACCATGTAATACTGCACTACTAGACATTCCAGGCCTGAAATTCCTTCCATTTAAGGATTTTTTAGTATTCCCAGATACTGCTATCAGACATAGATGGCAAAATCTAAGATCTCTACGTGGCAAGTCTTATGTGGAAAATGTTGCATGGATGTGTATGAATCTCAAGAAAGAACTGTTCGAAGAGTAGGAAAGTACTTTAAACATGCAATGGAACATACATTCTTTCACAATGCTTTATTACTCTTCTAATCTTCAAACCTGTCTTTTGTAGCAGAACAATTTAATATTACAGAACACAGACTTAAAGTTCACTAATGACTTTTTCATCATATCTGAACAAACTGTCTCCCTATCAGGTAATATAAACAATCTGGCTTAAGAAATGACAGTGGAGCCAGCATTGTCACAAAACAAGTAAATACTGGCATTCTATATGGATAACAGTTTATGTCCATGCTCCGTGTCCATCCCAGCTCCCTGCTAGCTAATGCCCTGAGAAAAGCAGCGTCCAGTGGTCTGGGTGTTGGGTCCTAGCAGCCACATGGCAGACCTGGATGAAACTTCTGGCTCCTGGCTTCAGCCCTGGCCCAGTGCTGGCAATTGCAGCCATCTACGGATTGAACCAGCTGATCAAAGGTTCTCTGTCTCTGTCTCTGTCTCTCTCTCTCTCTCTCTGTAACCCTCACTTTCTAAAGAAATAGATACATCTTTAAAAAAGAGAGGAAGGAAGGATAGTGATGATTTTAGAGACTAAGTTACCAAAACTGGGACACCAGTGAGTATGCAACCAGGAATTCCTGATTTTTTAGGCTGTGACAAGGAAATACATCAAGACTTTAACTCACAAGTTACAAATTTATCTGGTTAATGGTAATAAGTTAACTAATCATGCCTATTTGTTGTTCTGTAGTTGTTTCTATAATTCTAGAATTCTTAAATAAGGAACTATGTCAACATCAAATTAGTAACTTTATCTTAGTTAACCTTTCTTCATTTCATCTTCAGTATGCCTCTTTCCCTTCAATAAAACAGGATTCGGAATAAGACCACTGTGACCATAACAAACACATAAATCACCAAAAATTATACAGAAACCCTCACTGTTCACAGTAATCAGAAGCTGGGGGAAAAGTAAGCATAGTCTAACCTTTAGTGTGACATCACAGAGTTCTCCATTTTCATAAAATCGAAGAAGCGAGCCATGAAAATCTTTCCAAGCTTCATTCGCTTCAAAGATAAAGGAGTCTTCTCCCTCGCCATCGTTCAGTGAGGATCTGTTCTTCGTTTGCTGGTGCTGCTGCCTTTTGCCCTTTGTGAAGTGACTCCTCGCTTGTTTTGCATTCACAGATTCTGAAGCCATTTGCAACACTCTTTTTAAATGCGCTTCTCTCAGACATCACATGGGTTATTTCTTAGCAGTTGGGGAGAAGGCAGCCACTAAATTTCAGGCATTTTTAAAACCATGCGTAACTGTCACTGTACAATTTGCTGAGATTGAAAAGAACACAACACACGTGAAAACAAACCAGTAGAAACATTAAACCCTACTACTAAAGACTACAAGCATAATTACCATATTGTTTATTAAATAAAAGCTTATGATTGAACACTGAAATTTTCATGCTAAATATCACATAATCCAAACTGATTATTGTACCTTACTAAAGGAGTCTTAAATTCTACTATGAAAACAACTCAACAATACCTGAGATATAGAATATTTAATTTTTTTGGAAACAGCGCTCTGAACCGCAAATCCTGCTTAGAGACTTTATCCAGCTATGCAAGGCAAAAACTGAGGGCTATTTTAATTGAATTACATTATCCTAGATTATAGAGTTACATCACAGTGCCATCACTTAGGAACTTAGCAAATGACAACCTGCTTAAATCTGTTTTCTCAACCATGTAATGGATATCACTAACAGGAATATTTTGAGGATTACACTGAGAAAAATTACACTGCCTGGCATAGAATTGCTCAACTGGTATGAAGACCTCATTTTACTTTTATTTTCACAGAGTTTATTAGTATTTACATGCAAAACCAAAGTTACTTTCATTCTCAAAGTGTATCTGATGAACATCTACATCATCAATTCTGTGTTACAAATATACCTGGAAGAGCCCAGCACTGCGGCATACCAGGTAAAGCCTTTGCCGGCATTCCATGCAAATCCTGGCTCCTGTCCTAGCTGTTCCATTCCAGCTCCTTGCCAATGGCCTCAGAAAAGCAAAGATGGCCCAAGGATCTAAGCTCCTGTCACCAGCTTGGAGTCCCTAAAGAAGATCCAGGTTGTTGCAGCCATTTGGGAAATGAATGAGTAGATGGAAGATTTCTCTTTCAAATAAATCTTTTGCAAAAAACAAAATACATATGTGTATATATATATATATATACTTAAATGTATGTGTACATGTATATATGCATGCATATAAGTATGGAAATATACATACGTATAGTTTAGACTGGAACAATTTTAAATAAAAACATCTATTCCATCATTTATACACATATGATATTTTTAAGGCTTCACTGATATTTTCAACTATCAAAAGGAATACCTATCAATCTTATGTAAAGAATTACATAAAATGTAATAATGGATTTGTAAGTACTTATGAAATTACAAGTCATTTTGCAAATATTTCCATTAGTATAGGATGCTATGCTTATTAAGCAACTTCAGAAAATTATATATATCTTAGCCAGAAAGCTAACTGAATTAGGGTCTGTATGGTTAATCCCACCATTTCCAGCTTTTGATAGGATTCAAAATGGTTAATTTAAGACTACAAATTGGGGCGGCACAGTGGCTCCTCTTCCACCTGTAGGTCTCAGCACTCCACATGGGTGCCAGTTCTTGTCTCAGCTGCTCCACTTCCCATCAGCTCCCTGCTTGTGGTCTTGGAAAGCAGTGAAACATGGCCCAAAGTCTTGGGACTCTACCCACATAGGAGAGACCCTGAGGGGACTCCTGGCTCCTGGCTTTAGATTGTCTCAACTCCAGCTGTTGCAGCCATTTGGGAAGTGAACCAGGAGATGGAAGATCGTTGTCTCTGTCTGTCTCTGCTCTGTAAAATTTAACTTTCCATTAAAAATAAAAATCTTAAAAAACATTACATATAATGGTTATCAGTATCTTCTTTAAAATTTCTGTGGTAGAAACACGCAACACTAAACACCAACAAGCCAGATCTTCAAATCCCCTGTACACAGGAGTGGCTTATGACTTGTTTTTTAACCACTAGAACACCACAAGGCAATGAAGCACCACTCTCGTAATGACTCTGCACAACACTGCATGAACACAACAGAAAAAGTGACTGAAGGTGCAGATTTTGAAGCACAGATTACCATGGAGAAGAGAACTACACGTAGAGTCCCACAACCTGAAGGAGGCTGCCACCTTATACTCAGCAAAAAGCAAGGGCTCTTAGCCCTATAAGGGTACTTTAGAAAATCTGTGGAAAATAAAGTTTAAAAATTTAAGTTTACTTTGCTGCAAAAATTTTGGCATCATGTATTTTTCATGAACTTTTTCAAGTAATTTAATTCAGCTACAAAGAAACAAAATTGTACCACTAATTCAAGTGGAAGCAGATTTCCCCATAATTGAACCGCAACATAAGAATATAACCGGTCAACATCCAGAATGCTGCCTTGTGAGATCCTAAGCAAAACACACAACTACGCTGTGCCCAGAATCCTGACCCACAGAAAATGTGAGATAATATATTTCTGTATTTTTTCTTAGTTTATTCATTTTAGACACAAAGAAACAGCAAAGAGGCCTCCCAGCTGCTGGTGGGTCTCAGGACGGGATGTCTCATGCCTGGATCCCAGATGCCAGCCACCATGTGCACGTGGTGAGCTGTCCCCGGGACTGCCTGGGCTCTAGGGGCTGCTCCCTTCATGGTGAGTACACCAAGGGGGGAGGTCTCCGTGACTGGGCAGGTCTGGGGCCCACCTGCCACCCTCATTGGGCGGTGAATGGGACTGGGGAGGGGCGCGACCTTGGGCCTGGGAGTTTAAACTTCCAGCAGCCTCCCGGCTGCTGGTGGGTCTCAGGACGGGGCGTCTCATGCCTGGAACCACACACCAGCCACGGAATGCCAAGGTGAGGTTGCCTGTACAAATGTGACCACAGCACCCATCCAGCACACGTGAGAACCAGGAAGGGAGGGGGCAGAGCTGGCAGGGGAATAAGGGGTGGTTCCTTTGCTGGACAGCTACTCCCACTGGAGAGCATGAGCTGGGATGGGGCAGACCAGACTAAGCAGGGCTACAACACCTGTGCGCCTCATGTGGACTAGATCAGGGAAAAGCCAGGCTGAGCTGATTATTCCTACTGGTACAAACAAAATTAGAGTGGATGAGGGTTGTTTGGGCTTAGTCACAGCATCAGCTGCAAGAAGCTGGCACTGGGGACTAGTTCTGTCAAGTCAAACCACAGAACTACCTGGAGAGTGCATAATCCAGGAGTGGGAGTGGCCTAGAAGGGAAATAGTGGATTCATCCCTCTTGGGTTACCATTCCCACGGGAGGGCACGAAAACCAGGACAGGGGCTGGGGTGGAATGGGGTGTGGGACAGACTGGACTACTGCTACACATACTGGCAAACCAGGGTAGGGGACGGGCCTGGTGGGGGTTATTGCGGGTCGCTCCAACTAGGCTGCAGCTCCCACTGGTTTATGCAAGGGCCGAGTATGTGCTGGGCAGAACCAGGCTGGACTGCAACACCTATTGGTTCCAGTGGAAGTCGGGAGTGAAAACAGAACCAACCCAGCGATTGCAACCACCAGCTGATCAGGGCCATGGACTGTGCCGGGCCCTGTATTTGCTAGTACATACAAGAATCTGGTCTGAGAACACCTCAGACAAAGTTTCTTTGGAGATTTCCCCAATTGAAATGCTGGACTCAGAACCCTAACCAAGAAAAGAGAGAAGACAGAACAGGTCAATCAACCATCTCAGCTATATGTTGGCAGCAAAATACGGGGCAAACGGAGACTCTATGATGGACTATGTCAATCAGTGGATTCTTCAAAGACTTCATAGTGCTTGGAGTGGCAAGATTGGCAGCAATTCATAACTGGTGAACTATCAAAACCACTTGAGCAAGAACCTTGGAGCATACCCTACATCCGGGACCTGGGGTGGGTGGGAAACTGGGTGGGCCTTCTCCCTTAATACCCCCCTTTTAAACATGAAGGAAACAATATGGAAATAATAGTCTTACCCACTTTCCTATAGCCCTTGAACCTTTTTACCCTAATTAACTATGTAAAAATTGTAAAAAAAATATAATTAAAAAAAAGAGAGAGAGAAAAGAAGAAAGGAAGAAAGGAAAGAAAGGAAAGAAAGGAAAGAAAGGAAGAAAGGAAGAAAGAAAGAAAGAAAGAAAGAGCAAAGAGAAAGGTGGCCAGCACTCCCCTCTGCTGGCTTACTTCCCAAATGGCTACAAAGGCTAGTGCCAAGGTGGGAAGCGGGGAAATCAAGCCAGGTCTCTCGCTTGCTTAGGCAGCACATATACAAACCAGGCCTCTCCTAAGGAAGTCATCAGACGAGAAAAAGGAACCACAGGAATAATACAGGAAAAGAGCAAGTCCAGTTATCCCTAACTGCATTTGATATGACCCATTAGATACAGGAACCAAAAAACATCAAGATTACTGGCACTGGTTAGAGTTTAGGAAAGTTAAAGACTATAAATTCAACACAACAAAAAATCAACAGCCTTACTACACATATACAATGCCATTGTGAAAAAGAGCTTGTTACATCAGTCACAACAGCTACAAAAAAACTAAATACTTGGATAAATTTAACCAAGAATGTGAGAAATCTCTACAATGCAAATTACAAAACATCAAGGAAAGAAACAGAAGAGAAAAATGGAAAAATCTCCCATGTTCATGATTAGAATATCATCAAAATGTCTATATTATCCAAAATTTAGATTCAATGCAATCCCAATCAAAATATGAACATATTTTTCTGATATAGAAAGAAAAGACCTTGAACAACCAAAGCAATTCTATACAGTAAATATAAAGCTAGAGGCAGCACAATACCAGATTTCAAGATACATTACAGTTATATTGAAAACAACAGTATTGAAATTAGAACAGACATGTCCATCAATGGAACTGATGGAAGACCCAAGAAGTAACCCACACATCTACAATCAACTGACAAATGGGGTAAAATCATACTTGGGGGCCTGGAACTATGGCTTAGTGGTTAAATCCTCACCTTGCATGGTTGGGATCCCATATGGGCATCGGTTCTAATCCCAACTGCTCCACTTCCCATCCAGCTCCCTGCTTGTGGCCTGAGAAAGCAGTTGAGGACAGCCCAAAGCCTTGGAACCCTACCCTACATCTGCATCGGAAACGTGGAAGAAACTCCTGTCTCCTGGCTTCAGATTGGCTCAGCTCCAGCCATTGTGGTCACTTGTGGAGTGAACCGTGGATGGAAAATCTTTCTCTCTGTCTCTCTGTATATCTGCCTTTCCAATAAAAATAAATAAATCTTTAAAATCATTACTTGCAGAAAGGACAGATTCTTCAACAAATGGTGTTGAGATCTCCCTCTTAATGGTCTGGGAAAGTAGCAGAGGACAGCCGAAGTTGTTGGACTCGGGCACCCATGTGGGATATCTGAAAGAAGTTCACCAGCTATCAGGAAAATGAAATAAAAAAACCAAAATGAGGTATTGTTGTTCCACTTAGAATGGCTATTATCCAAAAATAAAAAAAAAAGATTAAAAAAAAATAACAAATGCTGACAAGGCTGTACAGAAAAAAATGGTGCAAAAAGTTTCCCCAACACACTTCGGTGGGAATACAAACTAGTACAACCATTTCTGAAAACAGTATGAAGAGTCCTCAGGAAAACTAAGACTAAAATCCATATGGCCCAGGTATCCTACTCCTGGGAAGATTTCCATTGAAAATGAAATCAGCATATGAAAGACATACCTGCAATCCCAATTTTATAGATGCTCAATTTACAATAGCTAAGATATAGACTCACCTAGAGGAAAGATATCTATCAACTGCTGACTGTATAAAGAAAATATGGCCTATACATACAAAGGGATATTACTCAGGTATTAAAAAAGAATGAAACCCTAAATTTTATTAAGATTTATTTATTTGAATGTCAGAAATATGGAAAGAGAGGGAGTTGGAGAGAGAATGAGATGGACAAAGAGATTGTCCATCAAAGGGTCACTTCACAAATGACTGCAACAGCCTGGGGCTGGGCTAGGTGGAAGGCAGGAGCTTCCTCCATGTCTTCCACACAGGTGGCAGGGGTCCAAACATCCAGGCTAACTTCTGAGGCTTTCC